TTATGTATTTTCTCTTCTACTTAGGATGTTTTTTAATTAATTTTGCAAAGCGAGGTTTGAATAAAAATGAAAAAAAAAAATAGTCTTTTACATTCGAGTTAGAAACCAAATTGTTTAATACGTTAGTCAGGTTTTCTGCAAATTGGTTTTCACAGGTGGTCTGAAAAATAACAAAAACTGAGTTTTAATTCAAAGTTCAGAATTTTTATTAAAGTAAACGAAAATTTCGTACATTCAAGGTGAACGTTTCTTTTGGAAATATAGGTTTTTTTTTGTCAATTAAATTGCATTTTTATAATTTTGGTCATTAAAAAAACGAAGTCTATAAACTTTTTATAATTAATGAGCAATATTCGGTTTTTTTTATAATTAATAAACAATACATTTAACCTATTTTTTAATTATTATTCATCAAGTTTTTTTTTTGTCAAACTTTGGTGAGCCTCGTGGTCCACTGACGCATATACTATGAAGGGCCTGATGTATGTATAAATTATCAAAATTGTTGTTTTTACATCCCTTTATCTGAGCTCTATAATGCTCTAGAATATATATATATATATATATATATATATATATAAAGAAAAGTTTCTTAATAATAAGTGTGATGGTTTTATGAATGCTCAATTAGCTGCTGAAATGCTGGTTGATTCAGCAAACCAGAAAAATTTAGAAATAAAAAACATTCAAAATAATAACACCACTACCTTCTTATATGGCCATTAATGAAAATTTTGTTTATGTATCCAGTTTTACCACAAAATCAATTGGAGACGCAAAGTCTCCCCATTCTTCCAAAAAGTGTTCTTTCAATTCCGGGAGACATTTTTTTACTGATCTGAACAGTTATCAGCTGGTGTTTCAGCTTTTTAAAAATATTTTTTTTTAATATTTTCCCTAGTCTAATTCTTGTATTAACAATGCAGTTGAAATTAAAAATATTTCTTTATTTCCTCACATTTCTCTTTGTCGGTTGCAAATATCTATCGGAAAATGTTTTGCATTCAATGTGAATTTTTTCACATTGAATGCAGAAGCACAATCCTTAAAGAATGCACATTCTTTAAGGATTTAGCAATAACCCTTTTCATCTGATTTCTTAACATTGGTTTTCATTACAAGAAAGACTCCTACTAACTATAGTATTAAGTGGCGGGACTTTAAAAATTGTATATATCTAGGAGATTGGAAAATAGAGACATATCATCTTCTTTTGTTTTGAATAGGGTGTAAAATGTTTAGTTTGATCTTGGTTGGTCGACATTAAGAATGGGACATTATTGTCCGTTAAGAGAAAAGATGGCCTATGGGCTTCAAATTGTAACTTCAAGTTCATGATCACGTACCCTTTATGTTTCTCTCGTTCAGTTGGTTCCCCTTTTGTAGTCTTTTCATGTGATAGGCTGGCTAATACATTTTTCATGGATTCTTCAACTTACATGTTAGAACTTAAAATTAAATCTTTCAATTCGTACTAACTGAGGCATATGTCGAACTGGATGGAGGTATATGAAAATAATGGTGAAATACCCAAAAAAAAGGAAGTCATATGTGTAGTTGACAGATCCGTGATTGACCTTTATAACTGACTTTTACAAGAATGAGCTTTTTGAATAGGTATTCTCATCTTACGAGTATAAAAAGAACAAGTATAGAAATAAAAAGAATGCTGATCCTTGAGATATGTGGAAACTGATCCATGGATCCTATAAGATCCATGGATTTTTTTGGAATTTTTTTTTCAAATCTTTTGAGGAATCAAAAAAAAAAAAAAAAAAAAAAAAAAAAATCGATGGATCTTATTGAAATTCCTGGAGGCTACTTTTAAAAACTTGTTTATCGAAGTGAACTTTCACCATAAGTTTATAGGCTTGAACATTTTTATAATTCACTACTATTAAGAAAGAGAATAAATTGTAAAATGTAAAATCAAAAATAAAAGCATCTAAATATTCATCAGTTTTGAGCCTTTGTTTAAGATTCTAGCAAATATAAAAAAATTATTATTGAACATTGAATAAATGGATAGATTAGGAGGTTATGAGCAAAAGGGGGAGACAGTGAAAAATGGAAAGGTTCATCAAAGAGTACTGGAGAGAAAAAAAGTAGGACACATTGGTCTACATGTTAACTGAATCTCTATTCTCTTATAAATAGAATAAAATTGGTAACTGAATTATCCTCAACTCATTCATGGGCCTGATAGCCGATTGGATAGAGTTCTGGCTTGGGTATCAAAGGATTCGGGTTCAAGTCCCGGCGGTGCCATGGATGGATACTTGTAGTAGTTCGGAATGCACTTTAAACTGTAGGTCCCGGTCTGTATAACCCTCGTGTGCACATGATGACCGTAGAGTGACAAACCAAATCAACTTATTCAGAATAAATATTGTAAACGTGCTCCCTCCTATGCACTGCAAGAGCACCCCTTACGGCGTTCAGGAGCAATCATCAGTAGGCATCGAGCCTCTCAACCGAGAGGATGTACAGCGCAAACGTCACTGTCACTGAGAACCGTTTAATTTACAGTATCTCATTCCGGTAGAAAATCTAGTTAGCACAACCATGTGCATACGCAGGCCTACAAACTCTCATCCTGGAAAGAAGTATATATACTAAGTATGTTTTTCCTGAGTATAGGAAGTATATCTCGTGCATCTAATGCAAACCAAAGTATCTTTATTTTCAGCTTAGAAGTGAAATCTTTCCCGAAATGTATACATCTTCAAATGTGTTGAGTGTTAAAAATTGTTTTTAGTTAATTGTAGTGTTTATTTCGTGCTTGTTGTGTATTCTGAAACCTGTGATTCAACCCAACCACACCCAGATCTAGCTGCACAAACAAACGACGCACACTACATCATACATTTATAACTGTCTAATACTTTTCAAACAAAAAATCACTTAAAAAAATGTAATCCTTTCCTGTAATAGAAAAATATATTAGAAAGAAACATTTTTACTGTCAATAGAAGAATGGCAGATTGTTCAAATAAAATTGGATGTGCAGAAAATGTACCTTTCTTCTTTTCTTTTGCCTAGCTGATGAATTTTTTCCGTTTAATTCTTCTACCTCCAAATCAAAACTCGGATAAACTGGAAACTTCAATTGAAGCCAGGATAAATCCCATAAACTGGTCTTTTTATTTTACCTTCACCCCATTTGTTGCAAGTGGGTAAAACATTCAAACTCCTGGAATTGCTACTTAAACTCGGATGACGCTTTATTCCATCAAGAAGTAAAGTTCTGTGTTCCCGGCTCTTGTAGGGGGGTTTGTACAAGAGTTTGGTGAGTCTTCTGAGAATAGCTCGAGAGATGCAGTGCTTGACGGAAATATATATTAGAGAGTCTACTGCTCCCAGGAGCTACAGAATAATAGTAAAAACTCTCGCTTTCATGTTTGAGTTTCTGAAAGAGTACATGATATTGTCTTCCTACAAAATTCATTTTTAGTAAGCGGCCACTTTTTTCTCGTATTGTGAAAAACTTGTTTTTTCTTTTATGTGAGAATTCCTTTTAGCTACAAACAGCCTCTATTGATTAAATAAATTAAAAAAATTATAATTTTCGTAATTTAAAATTACACACAATATTAATCATACAGGGTCATTATTATTAAAATACCACTTTCAAAATGCTGTAAAAAAAGAACCAATGATGAGGTCAAATGAAATGAGGTCAAATTTGAACTAAAAATACTAGAAGAAGGGGGAAACGGTGCGGCATTTAAAAAAAACAGTTCCAGTGTGTATTAATACATGGCGCTGTAATCAACATAAAGAAAGTGAATTCGGCAGCCAATGACATTTTGAATCGAAATTACAAACGTATTTGGCATGAGTTGGCTATTATAAATAAATAAATGAATTGTTCAGGAGGTTCATATGTGAATCATAAAAAAAAAACCTCATCAAACAAAAAGACACTAAATGCGCAATTATTGCTTTATTTAGTTGATATGTAATAGAAGTTCTTAGATTTGTCCCATCCTTGCCCAAGTTTTGTGATGTTATACATTTTTTTCGGGGGGGGGGGGAGGCAGCATAAGGAAGTTTTTTTTTCCTCTAATGCAGCGGGCAAATACTTAGACCGTGATTTTGTATGCCATAAGGGCAGCATCGACGTTACTGACTTAGCACTGCCCAAGGGGCGCGTGTCACTTGAAGATAAGCCCCCGCATCGCTCTACGATACTATTAGACCGGGACCTACAATTTAAAGTGGATTCCGAACCACTACAAACACCCATGGCACCGCCGGGACTCGAACCCGAAACCGGGGGTGCCGAGCTCCAGAAAGCTAGACACGTGGCCATCAAGGTCCCAGCATAAGAAAGTTTAAGCGAAAATTCCGTCACTCGATGCAGAAGAATGGGCTTATATTATCCTTTTTAAATAATACTTACAAATAAAAATAAAAATTAAAGTAATTAATTTCTATTAAATAATTAATAAGAGATTAATTTCTATTAAATTATTAATTTATTTGTATAAAAATTAATTTGTAATTCATTCGATAAAAAAGAAGGTGCTTTATATTATCCTTTTTAAATAACACTTAAAAATAAAAATTAAAATTAAAAAATTTATTTCTAATAAATAATTAATTCCTATTAAATAATTAATTAATTTCTGTAAAAATTCTTCAGAAAAATTAATTTTTTCTTAATTTTTCCTGAAAGCCTTTATTTCCTTTATAATATTTTTTTCCTATATTAAAAATTTTGTTTTGAATGATCTCGGCAACTAAGATGACGTCATTTCTGATTTCAAAAATCGCAAAAAGACCTCGTGCTGTTCTGAAAATTATTCATTGACATTTCAATATCCTCTTTTCCGAATGACCATGCAATTTCTCCTCTGAGTCACAATTTCCCCTCCAGTCGTGTTTGTTGCTATTGTTGCTTTATTGATTATATTTTTATTACCTCCTTAAAAAATATAATAATATAAAAAAAGTTATATATACATAATTTATATATATATATATACATATATTACAGCGGCCATACCATGCTGAATATACCGGTTCTCGTTAGATCGCATCATCGGGCGCGGTCAGTACTTGGGTGGGTGACCACCTGGGAACACCGCGTGCTGTTGGCATTCACAAATTTGGGACCTGAATGGCCGAGTGTCTGACCCGAAACCTGGCGCTCGGTGCCACAGGTTTCGGGTTCGAATCCCGGCGGTGCCATGGATGTTTGTAGTGGTTCGGAATCCACTTCAAGCCGTAGGTCCCGGTCTCCTATGACTGTAAGAGCGTCACGGAGACAAAGTCAGACTTCTACCTACGGGTGCTCCATCACAACAGAAGCTGCTTCCTTCCCCTTCAATCATGAGTACGTATGGGCTCGTGGGCTTGGCCAGCCAAGTGGGATAAGAAACAACAAACAAACAACAACATATATATTACTCTTTTTCTATCTAATCAATGGGCTTAAAGCTTAAGAAACTTCTTTCATTCACAAAGCAGGAGATAGAGGCTCTCAACCAAGGCTCTCTGTTACCCTGGCAAACCTTATCGTATTTTTTAATACTTTTATAAAAGTTTTAACACATTTACATAAAGCAAATTGTTAATAAATATGAGCATCATAAATGCCACAGGCATCATTTAATACACATTTTTATAGGATTTACAAGAAATTACAGGATTTTAATCGAAATTCGAAAGGATTAAGCAGTTGAAATATATGACCACGTAAATAATTATTTTCATTATCGTCACCAGTCAAGCGCGATATTGAAAAATATTGTATAAACCATCGCTAATGTACAAGTTGAAAAGTTTTACACCTCCATAAAAGTGTGATTTGTTCAGCCTGAATGTTGAGTCAAGTTTTCCCATAGTAAGCAACTTTTTTTCCTGCAAAGGTTTACTGAAAGGACTTGCCCTAAGGATCAAAGTTCTTGTGATTCATGAATATTAATGAAGTTCTCGAGTTTCTGCAGCTTTTTATTTCGGACGTAATTGGTTTTCTTGGAAAACTATTACGGGAATAAACTAATTAACTGTGCTTTATTGATTTGATAGAAAATATCTGGATATTCATTCATCTTAGAAAAGTGAAAGTAGACCATTAAAAATTTTCCATCATTTGTGTTAGTGAAACATATGGTGGGAATTGTATATTGAAATTTTTTCACATTAATCAGTAAAATACAATGCGGAAATATTAATAACTTGATGAATATGGAAACCAGAAGTTCATTGCATAAATTATTAATAGCCAATAGAATATTTGATGATAGCCCGTGCAAATTTTGCCCGTGGAATTTTTCTGCACAGAACCAATTTTACTTTTTTAATCTATGGACTTATCTTCGCTAATATCAGTTGGAAATTATTTTATTTCGTATTATTTTATTTTATTTCGTTATATATATATATATATATATATATATATATATATATATATATATATATATATATATATATATATATATATGTATATATATATATATAAAAAGGCAGATTATAACAATTACTGCAAAAGAAAAGAAAATAAAGGTAAAAAAGGACACAAAACAGAAAATGCTGCAACAGAGTTCATTATTCTAAAGACCAGACAATTATTCCAACCCGAGGGCCCGCCTTGAACACTTTTCCGGACCGTAAGATTTATCCCACTTTTACAAAATATATTTATTTTATAATGGTCAAAGTAGTAAAAACCAATGTATTAAAAAATACATTAAAATACATCCATATATTCAAAGATTAACTGCCGAAATTATAACAAAAAATTAACTTTGATTTTAGAATAATAATATTACGAATGTATGTCAGATAATATTATAGAGCAAACAAACAACATAATATTCTAGAGCAAAAAAATATCGCACTAGCAAAATAAATATTTTTTAATGATTTCATTTTTTAGTTGTTAATCTTCAACACCCATGACGATGTGCTAATATCCAAATTGAGATCGATTTTCAAAAGCTAAGTGAAAGAGTGGAGAAACACATATCGCACTAGTAAATTAAATATTTTTTAATGATTTCATTTTTAGTGTTATATATATTTTATATTTCCTTTTTAGTGTTGTATATTTCTTTACAATGTGAGTTTAGTATCATCATTATTATAGTATCTATGTTTACATGCAAGAATAATAGTAAACACAATTATAATAACTCATTATGTTTCAATTTTTCACTCCAAAAAGATATCTACAGTGGGTCTAAATATAATATAGGGATATATAATTTTATATTCGGAGTTAGGATGCATTTCCAAAGTGGCCTGCAAGATCATTTGGGTTGGCCATCCCTGATTTAACATATGTTTGGCTTCCCAATAATGATTGACGAGAAAGGTCTTGCGAAGTTCAAGACATTGGAGTAGATGAGCTTCCACCTCCATAAGTCCATAACCTCTCCAGTGCTGTACAGAGTGCAAATCGGTGAAGGAACAATTCTGAGTCTAAAAAGATGTTTCCGTAGACAGTCATGTCCGGTGGCTAAACGGAATTCAGCCACCGCTCTGCGTCTTGAGTCATTACATAACTTTGGGATAGCATTCCTCCAAGGCTTAGGGGATACACGGTCAGTAAGGTCCTTCTGAGCACGGACTTTGATAGATTTTTTAACAAGATGTTTAATATCACAGAAGGGCAAAGGACGAGAAGTACTCTGCATGATCAACCCACTGTTGGGTTCTTGCTGCTCCAAGACTGCTGTGGATAATTTTCTCAAGAAATGTCAAGTAAAGAAGTGTCAAGTGGAGAGATGTCAAATGAAGGTGAAGACGGGAATTCAAGCTATTATTATGTTAAGGGATTGTTACCCCTGTTGTTGTTGTTATCGTGTCCATGGATATAAAATATTATTATCAAAGTTAGATCAAGTCAAAAGTCTTCACGATAGCGGCCGCTAACAACGGCGGCGCTTCACTATACAGGACTTCTCTTAAGTTGGCCTCTATTGGCACCATAACTAATGGAAAAAGGCAGGGCCTCGGAAGGTTGGACTTCTACCTGTTGGTCCGCGGGGGATATTTTATTTCCCTCCTACCACCTATCGGAAACCGATGGAGGCATCCCCCGATACCTGTAAGTTAAGGGATTATTACCTCTTTAAGTTAAGGGATTATTATTATTAAGGATCCCAGTTAAGGGTTTATTATCAGATGCGATAGCCAGCAGAAGCAGCCTTGGAATCGTAGATGATAACAGCTCTTGTGAATTTATCCAAGCGGCAGTGTAGCTGGGATAGAGCTGTGCGAATAGCAGCGATTTCCCTGTCGAACGCAATACCACGCCCTACAGGGACGCAGAAAGAAAAAATCTTGGAAAAAACTCCGGAACTTTCGTTAGGCTATCGAATGGCCTAACGCAATTAGATAAAAAGCCATTATTAGGTATTAGGCCACAGGTAAAATTCTGTAACCACTCTGGTTTGGAGTAAAAGATGTTTAATACTTCGAGACCCAGGACTCTTAAAAATAGAAGGATCCTTACCTTATTATTTATCTCATGGGATCCATGTATCCCATACGGTAAACGTTTACTCAATTATTATGTTGGTTTAAAAAAAAAAAATTAAAACTTATCTTTAAATTAGGTTTAAACTTACTTAATTTTTTTTCTATTAATTATAACAGATTTATTAACACTTTATTAGATGTCATATTTACAAAAAAGTTACAAGATAAACTAAAAAGAGTAGAGGGGAAAAAAATCTCATAGATCACCCCAAAAGAAATTATAATTTACATAATATGTTTAAAATTATAGCATTTCATAATAAACCTTCAATAATAATAATAATAACATTCCTTAGTAATATTTAGCTTCTGACATATGTCAATATTAATCCGGGCAGTTTCAGATTTATTGGGTTTTGTAGTGGGACGAGATATTCTGGTTCAAAATTTAAACCAATTGATTTTTTTAACTGGTCGACTCCCTGAAGATGGCCCATCAGGGTTTTAAATATAATATATAGTATATTCCCTGAAAAAAACATAGACAGAAGTTAATTGTCAAACTTTAAATTAAAAAATAAATCCATTTTTTTATCCTTTTATATTTTTTCATAATAAAAAAAGAACTAAGTGGAAATTCCCTTTTTTTTTTAAATTTGATGAAAAAATTTTCCAGTAATGAATATTATCAGTTCTTAACAAACCATTATCGTTAACGTTATGTTACTCATACATTAAAAAATGATAAACATAAAATGGTGTATTTTTATATCATTTTATTTTTGTATTTAGTTTTTTTTTTCTTTTTTTTAGTGTTATTATGACTACATTTGCTCATAAAAGATACACTCACTTAAATTAATTATTTAATAAAAGGAAAGAAAGTCGTTCAACAAATTTGATTGCAATGTTTGTTATTTCATTTGTATGCTTAACATACGTTTAAATGGCAACTAAAATAGCCAAAATTAATGTATAGAAATAACCATACTCTTTAATTATGTATTATTTAAAAGTATTGCTTTTGATTGCTATTTGCCTTAAGCATTATTTAAAACGCGCTCTAGTAGAATATTTCTAGCAGTTTAATTAACCACATTTAAAAAATATATACTTACTGATTTATTTCAATGCATTTCATTATTTTTTTAAGTAATAGGAAATTAAAGGAAAAAATAATAAAAAGACCAATGCAAAAAATCATTTAAAATATATATATATACAATGTCAACTATCACAAAATCTATCTTCTTTAAAGAGAATTCGTGATATTACTTCGGGAAATCCTGTATTTTGATTACATAAAAAGATAACTTGAAGATGATTTTCATTTAAATAATTTAAGTATCCATTATCTTAATTCGAATCTTTGAATTAAAGATGATATATTTTAATTAATGTATTTTATTAATCTTCTAAAATAAAATTTTTTTTTTTACATTTTTCTCAACCGCATATGTTTCTACGTTTATTTTTTTTAAAAGACATACTTCCAAATTATTAGTCTACATTCAACCAAAAAATTATTAATACTTTAAATCTATTTGGATAATTTAATTTTTTTCATGGCAACAGTGATTATTTCTAAATTGATGTTTCCTTTTTGTACATGTATGTTCTATCCTCTTTGTGCATTCGATCTTATTTTCTTCAATAATTAAGCGGTAT